GGGGGGGGGGGGGGGGGGGGGGGGGGTGTTACTGGAGTGAAAACTTTCCGTCGTTGAGGACGATGTTGACGGTCGACTTGGTATCGAGACTCCTGCGGCCAGCTTCGAGGATGGCGGTGGTAAGCACGGTGTCTCTGATGGTAGGCAGGACGGTATCGTAATGCGAGGCGGGGCGTTCGTTGCGGTTGATGCGCGTGCAGGCGGTGACAAAGTTCTCGAGCGACAGATAGCCGTATCCGTGCTGACCTGCAAAGTACCCCTCTGCATCCGGGGTATAGCGCATGTAGAACGGGTTAAAGTCGGTGCAGCTTCCACCGGTGACAGCCTGGGCAGGGTCTTCTTGGGTGAACTGGTATCCGCGTCGGGCCTGGTTGATGCGCGTTTCGCCGTTGGAGGCTACGTAGTGGAAGTGCTGTTCGGAATGCACACCTGCTCCCTGGGGTGCGGACCAGCTGGCTGTAAACACGGCCGTGGCCACCTTTCCCTGCTGTGCCTTGCCGTCCGAATCGATGATGGCAAAGTCAACAAGCAGGGTGATGGTGTCTTCGGTTCCGGCAACGCAGCCTACGGAGGTGGCGATACCTTGGGATGCCGAGGCGGTGACGCGCAGGGGGAGCGCACGACCCGCTGTCATCCACAGACACACGTCGATGTGGTGCGAGTTGAGGTAGTACGAAATATCGCTATCGCGCCCAGCCCAGGCCTTGAACGTTTCGAGCTGGTTCTTGGGCTGGCTCATGTACGAGTAGAAGTAGTTCATATCGCCCAACGTCGCCCTAGCCCTCTCCCTTGCATCCGCATACGCCGGATCGAACCGCTTGTGATGTTCCACCATACACAGCACGCCCTGCCTCTCGGCTGCCTCGACCAGCTTCTGGTGGTGTTCCAACGTTTGTGTGGCGGGCTTGGTGACCAGCACGTGGATCTTGCGTTGGATCGCGTACATGGCGATGTCAAAGTGCGTCGAATCGGGCGTAAAGATGGTAATCGCATCTCCGGGCGCAAGCGAGTCAATCGCCGCTTTGTATGCATCCGCGTCACGAACGCCAGCCTCGGGGTAGGAGGTAAAGGCGGTGGAGAGATCGCGATACTTGTGCTCGATATTGCGCTTAAAGTGATCGCGAATGCCCGCAAACTTGTCACCGTTCGTTCCGACCATCTTGATCTCCGGTGCGATGAGCCCGCGACGACGCAGGTCGAACATCACCAGACCCACCACGCCGAGTTTCTTGTCCGAGGGCGACTGCGAGTTGCCCACAAAGCCCGTGGTGTACTCGCCCGTGCCCACCGCAAGCACCGTAGGAAGACCGTTACCAGACATGGTTGCAAACACTAGAGAAAAGGGTGAGAGTGTGTAGTGTAGGGATAGGGAAGGCCGAGGGTGGGCAGGCTTTATACGAAGAAGAGGCGTGGGGGGGAGGTGTCGGCGAACAGACCGGTGTGACAGCGGAAGAGCGGACCGTGGGGGGACCGGTCGTGCAGAAAATCGCCCTCCGCCAACCCAGGGCGATGGGCACGCGTCGGTTCCCCCCCACGCCCAAGTTCACCCCCAACACCCCCACGGGCTGGCCGAACATCACCGAACCAACTTCGCTCCACAGCATCACTTTGCCGTCCCCAACCCCCACCCACAGCCACTGCTAACCCCACACTCCCATCAGCCCCCGCACACACTACACACACACACACACACGTCTGTGCACACGTCTAGTCAAGACCCAATCGGCATTCGTATAAAGCACTTGTCTATCAGAGTGGAAGGTGGCTACGACGGGATCGAGTACGCCTGGCCACGTCGGCCTGCATTCGTCGGCGCAGCTCTCGCCTTTGCACCTCCGTTGGCCTTGCCCAGTGGCTTCACCACGCCAGTACGACCCTTGGCGCCAGACTTGAAGCCCGGCCCGTCGTAAAAGATGGTCTCGTCAGGCCGGTTGAGTGTGGGCCAGGCGACATAGTCGAGTCCGCGCGAGACCATGAACTGGAAGCTGCCCACGGCCACCACGAGCCAGAGCGTAAAGAACCACAAGCTGGACGGAGTGTTCTTGACGTCGGCACCGGTGGCGCCCGCGACGGTGGCGACGGCATGACGCGGCAGCACGAGGCTGGCGAGCAGCATGGTGAGCGCGAAGAGGAGCACCCACGGCATGGCGCGCACGAGCAGCGCACGCTGGTCGGGATGCGGCAGACCCTTGGAAGGCTCCCATGCGCCCGTGAAGAGGTCGTAGGCATCCTGACGTGCGCCGTCAAAGTAGTTGTTCTTGATGTAGCGCGTGACCGAGTTGACGCCGTCCTGCAATGCCCCCTCCTTGGACCGCTTACCCGTGCGCGTAAAGTCGGTCTTGAGCGCGCCCGTGCCCGAATAGGCCTTGCTGATCACATCCGCATGGTCCGCCCACACGTTGCGGTAGACGTGCATAAACTCGGCGTGCTTCTCCACCTGATCGCCCGATCCAAGGATGCCGATCGCCGAAAGCTGCTCGTTGAGCATCCACCGTGCCAGCGTGCCCTGGACGACATTGGTGCGGTCCAGACAGTCCATGCAGTTGGTGCGCACCACGGAGCGCTGCTCGCTCACCACCTTGCCGCCCTCGGAGGCAAAGTGGTCGGTGCTCTTGAGCCCCTTGGTCTGCAGCCGCTCGATGAGGTCCATGACGCGCTCAAACTTCATGCCCTTGCACTCGTGGTGGAAGTCGTAGTAGGTGTAGTGCACGTGCGCGTTGGCGAGCTTCTCGACGGCACGCTCGTACGCCTCCTTGACCGGCTTCTCGTAGCCCTTCTGGTTGACGAGGTTGACGAGGTAGTTGTCGCCGTAGCGCTTGACCTGGTCGTCAAAGTGGCGGCGCGTGGCTTCCGCCGTCTCGGGCTTCTCCATGATCTGCAGATCGGGCTTGTAGCGCAGATTGTTCACCTCGGCCCAGAAGACGGGCACGGAGCCGCGCGTCTGCACGTAGCTCTTGCGGATCGAGCCGTCGGCCTTGACCATGGCCGCGCCGCCCTTGGGGTTGGTGATGACAAACTGCTCGGTCTCGTTGAAGTTGGACACGTTGCCGTCCAGGTCGATGCCGCGCGAAAAGTAGCGCGTGCCCACGCGGTGGCGCGAGCGACGCGCAATCAACCCCAGCACGAACGCGTGGTTGTTGATCGTCACCTGCTTCACCTCGAGGAAGCCAAACACGCACGGCAGCATGAAGCGCGACACGTCGTGGCCCGCCTGTGTCGCCTCTACGAAGCGCTGCATCAGGAAGCGGTTCCAGAAGAAGCGGTCGTCGGTGCGCTGCCACAGCGGCGCGGTCTTGTTGGAGATGGACGCCTGGCGCTGCATGCTGCTCGTGAGGTCGTATCCGTAGCTAAAGTAGAACGGGGCGCTGTAGAGGTGCGACTTGAGCAGGCCCAGCAGCGTCTTTTCCACGGGATGCTTGAGGAGCGACGGATTGGCCTCCTTCTCGAGCGGCAGCACGCGGAACTCGGTGGCCATGTAGATGTCGGCGCCTGCGATCTCGGCGACCTTCTTCTTGGAGGTGATCACCACCAGGAACTCGGAGGTGTGCAGCTTGATGATGCCGACGAGGCCGTGCACTGCCATCGACTTGGCATCGCCGCGGTTGGAGGTGGAGCCCTGCTTGGTGATGCGCACGGACGAGTCGTTGCGGTCGATCACGAGCGCTTCGGAGCGCGCGGCGTCGGACGACGAGGTAGGCTCAAACGTGTACGCCTGGGGCGAGATGGTCATGCGAAAGCCATCCCAAAGCTGGGGCAGGCTGTTGGCGGACGACATTGCGAGACAGCCAAGACTTGGAGTGGGGAAGGGTGGTGGTGGATGGTGGCGAAGTACTTCTTGAGAAGGACGCCGCGGTTTGACAGATTGGCTTTCGAGGCCCGTGAGCGCATTCACGTTTGCGGAGATGCCGAGCGAGGGAGCAAAGGGAGGCACAGAGCGTGGCTCGGGCGCTGGGCGGCTCGGGCGTGAACCGCTGCTTCGTGTGTCGTCACTCGAATTTCCAGCTGCACATGCAGGGGGAGGGCGTGAAAAGGCCACGCGAAACCATCCCATCGGCCGATCCAGGTTTGGAAATCGTCCGATCGTACGACCCTCCAGCCGCTTGCCGCTTTGGCTTGGAATCAACGCAAGGTCCGGCTCACAGGGTCAATCAAGTGTCGATGTAAAAGGGTTGGATATCGCAGCCTGGCTACATGTACAAGATGGAGAGGGAAAAGACAAGGATTGACAACCTTTTGTCTGGACATTTTGGGGTGGTGCAAATGGTGCTGAGCGGATGCACTCGACAAGGGCAAGATGCAGCGTCTAGGTGAGCAGGGTGAGGCGGGACGACACCTCGGCCTGGGCACGGACGACGTTGGCGAGGTAGGAGACCATGAGGACGTCTTGGAGGTGGGCGTTGAAGAGCGTCTCGAGCTTGTTGTCGTCCATGCCGGCGGGCACGACGCTGATGGTGTCGTTGAGGAAGCGGCCAACGGCCTTGTCGCCCTCCTTTTCGCCGGCAATGACGGCGCGGACGTAGGTGAGGACGCGGTCGAGCTGCGCCTGCACCTGGTTGAGGCTGACGGCGAGCGCATCGAGGTCGGTGAGCGGCGAGGCGACGTTGTGGGAGGCGAGGAGCGAGAGCGAAGAGTGCTCTGGTGTCGAGTGGAGGAGCGTGGTGGGGAGCGGGAGGAAGACGCAGTTCTCGGGCTTGGGGGCGGCGCCGAGCGGCGAGGAGATGTACGACTTGATGCCGAGGCCGTCGGCTTTGGAGGCGTCGATGGAGGTGTCCATGGTGAGGTGGACCGCCTGGTGCGGCGCGGTCTCGCGCGAGTAGAAGTCCTGGATGAGCGCGCTGTAGGTGTTGAGCTCGGGCGAGGTGGCGTACCAGCCGACGATCACCTCGTCCGGACGCACCTTTTGGCAGAGCTCATACATGTTGCGGTGGTACTCCATGTCGACCTGCACCTGGCCCTCCTCCTCGTCCTCCAGATGCGGCACCGCAAAGCAGTTCTTGATCTCGATCTCGGACTCGGTGCGTGTGCCGAGCAGCGTGCCAATCACGCGGTGCTGGCCGTCGTTGCGGCGCAGGTAGTGGTCCAGGATGGAGAAGAGCGCCACGGGGTGCACCTGGACGCCGGTGACGGAGCGCGAGTGCATCACGCCCGAGCCTGCCGAGGCGGGGAAGTCGATGTGGAGCGCCGACGACGACGAAGCGGGAGCGAGCGACATGGTGGTGGTGGTGGTAGTGGTGGCGGTGACGCTACGTATGCTGATGCGGGTGCGATGTTGATATCGGTGATGCTGGCAGTGCTGGCAATGCTGCAAGACGCTCTGGATGAGGCGGGCGAAAGAAGATGAGGAGGCGACGCAGGCACTGAAGTGAGCGACGAGTGTTGTCTGCAGACGAGAACAGCTCTGTGAGGGCGAGAGGGTCGGAAGTCTGAAGCGGTTGACGAAAGGTGTAGGTTGGGAAGACGATGGTGACGAGCAAGCTATCCTTTCTCGCCTTCTTGCACCGCAGCGAGCGGCAGGCAGCAGTGGCCGCCGCACTCTTTCTGCTGTCGGTGGGCCCTGCGGTGTAGCCTTGAGAGACTCCTTGTGCAACTGCAAGTAACAGAGCGAGCGCCTCGCCTTCACCACAGCGCGACCTGCAATTCTTCTTCTTACCCGCCGCCAACAACGCAGCCCAGCCCAGCCCATCCCAGCGCGGCTCAGTCCAGCCTACGAAAGGCGAAAAAAATTCCCCCAATTCACGATTTCTTCTCGAGCCGCGCTGGATGTATTGGAGCAGCAGCTGCTCGAATTGCACGCGTTGTTGCTCTTTGAATACAAACCCGTCTGCGCTCGAATTCAAGCTGCTTGGCCCACCACACAAAGGGCAGCCAGGGCAGCCGACGCCGCCATTGTGCGCGCCTTCATCAATGTGAGATCGAAGGTCTCATTTTAGAAAGTCGGAAAAAAGGGAGAGAGAAGAGTCGGCCTGATCTGATCGAGAGGCATCGTGAGTGACTGTTGCTCGAGCCTCGTTCGCTCGCTCGGCCATGCGCAGAAGCTGCTGCTGCTGCTGCTGC